AACAATTATCAATTGGCTTGAAAGAAAAGGATAGGCTGTGGGTGTGGCAAACTGATCAAAAGAAAGATCAGCTACTTGGATCAACAAGAGTGGTGAAAGGAGGAAGATGATCCAAATATGTATATGGTGACCATGAGCATGCAAGCAAAACACAACCAGATATTTGCAAGTCAAGATTAAGTACTTATAGGATAAGGAATGAGATCATATCACAACATGTTTCAACCAAGTTCAAGAATGCTCTTCATGAATTCCAAGTTTGTTTCAGACTTACTTCAAGTTCAATCATCATGCATCAAAAAGCTAACAACCAGGGCATTGATCTCAACTGGTGAATCATAGCAAATCAACAAGGTGTAACTCATCATCGCCCCCTATGCTAATGCAACAGTCCTACATGAAACAATCTAGACTCAATCCTAATATGCAAATGCAAGCTACATGATCACTCTGTTTTTTAAAGATTTTTTTTGAAAATCTTTCAAATTTTTAGGGGTTTTCAATGCACATATATGAATGCAAATTATATGCTAAAAATTCAAAATAAGAAAAGAGAACACAACATCAAATGTCATCCCAAACCCTCCCCCAAATTTAAATTACACAGTCTCTTGTGTAATAAAAATTTGAGAGTTGGTTTGAGAATCAAACAAACAAAAGTATGAAAATGCAATGGTATATACAGATGAAGGTTTGGAGTGGTACCTTACTGAAAATAGCAATCCAGGTATTGAGTCATGGACTCGCTTGTATAAGCACCTGGTGCAGGCGGGACAGGAGGAGCCTCTGCTGGTTGCTCAACGTTCTGCTCGACAGGATCCGCAGTGAGGTCTTGGAAATGATACGCACCTGGATCAACAGTCAGGTCCTCAATGTGATCCTCAGCTTGATCCATGGTCAGATCCTCAACATGATGCTCCTCTGACAAGTGTGATGAACTGGCTTTTGCCTTCCGTCTCGCTGCCTTCTTCTTTTTCCTTTTCTCCTTCTTCTTGCTAGCCCTAAGCTCAGGGGAGGACTGTCTTAGAGGAGAAGAAGAAACATTATGCTCTCTATACTCATAAGCGGAATGACGTGATGGAGAAGGAGTTCTGTAGCGTGCTGGGACATCACTCGTGGACAAACGACGCTGCACTGGTCTAGCATCCTGCGGAGTAGTGTCTGCAAAAGCTGTGGTGGTGGAGGCGCAGCTAAACTTACTCATGAAGCTCTTCATCTTCGATTTCATAGATTTTATTGCCTTGTCTTGCAGCATGTTCCACTTCTGAAGTGTACTGATACGCTTGTGAGCTTCCACCAAACTCTTGCCTTATCTAGGCGCTGTGTAGTCCTGGAAGTGATACCTCTCTGGTCTATACTCATCTGAATCTTCTTCCATCTCGTCATCCTCTTTCTCAGATACCTCCATCGCTTACTCACCATCTGTCGTGTAGAGAGCCTCTGCAGGGGGAGTAAACTCAATGTTGCTTCCTTCGAGTATCCTAGTGAAAGCGATACAAGGAAGCAAAAATCGCACGTCACCATGTACGGGGTGAGTGAAGTAATACATATACAACCCGTTGCGTTTCTCCCAATGCAACCATTGAGCTTGCCTCAAGTTCTGAATGTCGATGAATCTCGGTGCAATAGGCTCTGAACTCAGCGGACGCTACAAGCTTCTAAGATGACTGTCACCAACCCTCCCATACACATAACTCCCTGAGTTCTGCAGCTGCTCAGCTTCACTACCCAAGTTTTGTAACTGAGTAGCTGGTGCAACAGGGTGAACGAGGGGGATGTATCAGTCGTATCACCTCGCAGTAGTGTCCCATCTACTGCTGTTAACAAGAGATCTTTAAGTGCAAGATCAATCATCTCCAGCTCCCCGTTGATCAGTGTCCCTGTTGTCTCCCTCGCGAAGAACACGTTTGCAACTGATCGATGGAAGTAGCGGATAACTGGACTTCTGATGTGGTTGCTCTTGGTCCTAGATGAAGCGAACTTCTTATCATTCCCAATCGTTTCCCAAAGAGCCAACAATTCATCCCTATCAATCCTCTGCCCAGTCCCTGTTCCATTAGGGAATCCAAACAAACCTTCCAGCTCTCTGGTGGTCAGAAGATACTCATGAACATGGATGGTGAAGGTGATGTATCCCAATCCTCCATCCGACTCTATGTCCGGATCATCCTCATAAAGATGAATGACAAGCATACAGAGGAA